CGGTTTTGACGTTTTCTTGTCTGTTTGTATATTACTGATAAATTTACGGTGGGTGTACTTTACAAAACGAAATACAGTTTCACCATGGACACGACAACCTGTTTACGAGTACGAATTAAAAAGCGTCATTCAACTGTCAAAATACTAGCTGCGTCCCAAATCGCATACGTATGCACTATTCTACGCCATTTTGTAGTATAAATAGTGTAAGTAGTGCGTTAACACTCTAAAAATAATAAGTGCACTTTCATTACCCGGATGATGCACTCATTCGGCCGCTAAAATGAAGTGTGGAATGATGGACACTTCACGCACTCAACGACCGCAGGTTTGCCTACATAGCGGAAGGGGCGGAGCTATCAGACGCACATGTTGGATAACTTTATTTATTTTGGATGGTGAAAGCAAAATTCTCCAACGAGAGTGATTATAGCGCCTCCCGATGGTGAATGCGGTTATACTCACGGCAGGTATTATTTGATAATTCAGTCGTTTATTTCACTGATTTGGCAACCGTCAAACGTCATCAGAGAAACGGGTTGAATTTCCGCTTAGTAAAAAAACATTAGTGTGCCATTTGGGATGACACTACATACATATATTATCCTGTTAAGTGTGTAAGTGCATAAGTACATAGTGTATAGTGTGCCATTTGGGACGCAGCTACGGTCACCGCTGTCTAGGCATTAATTAACAAGCCAGAGTCATCTTTCACAGCAGTGTGCTTGCTAAGCTCGAGCTCCCACACACCATCTCAGGTAAGATTTTTGTTATTCCCTCTTTGAGAAATGTCCGTTATGAGCTGTAATAAAGGTTGAGACTTAATGACGTCCATTTTCGCTGTGTTTCTTGGACATTTTACAGAATCAAAATTAAGAACGGGCCGAGGATAGTGAAAATAATTTAAGTTACCGTTACAGGCAGCAAACGCAGAACTTCTCAGAGAATCACTTAACAGTGTTTAACTATAACATGACATCTGTTGATTAAGTAAGCTTTTTTCAAGCCAGATCGATCATTTATCTATTTTTAATGAAGATATCAGCAAAAGGCAAGTTAAATATTTCTGCTGCAACATTCGGATGGTAGGGTCCGAATTTGGTGTCAACAACATGAAAGCATGGATCCAACCTGCCTTGTATCAATAGTTCAGGCTGGTGGTGGTGGTGTAATGGTGTGGGGGATATTTTCTTGGTACACTTTGGGTCAATAAGTACCAACTGAGCATTGTGTCAGCACCACAGCCTACCTGAGTATCATTGCTGACCAAGTCCATCCCTTTATGAGCACAGTGTCTCCATCTTCTGATGGCTACTTCCAGCAGGATAACGCACCAAGTCATAAAGCGTGAATCATCTCAGACTGCTTTCTTGAACATGACAATGAGTTCACCGTACTCAAATGGCCTCCACAGTCAGCAGATCCAATGCAATAGAGCACCTTTGGGATGTGGTGGAACGGGAGATTCGCACCATGGATGTGCATCTGCGTGATGCTATCATGTCAATATGGAGCAAAATCTCTGAGGAATATTTCCAATACCTTGTTGAATCTATGCCACGAAGATTTAAGGCAGTTCTGAAGGCAAAAACGGGTTCGACCTGGTACTAGTAAAGTGTGCCTAATAAAGTGGCCAGTGAGTGTAAATTGTAATAAAGAATTATAATTATAATATAACATTTAGTGTATTAATACATTTTGTAAATTACTATATATAATATATTGGTAAAAAAGAAAAATATAAATACAAAAAAATACATTAAAATATTAATATTTATATAATATTATATAGATTAATATGTCATTAAAATAGATTTACTAAGAACAAATAAGCATATTTATAAATATTCATGATTCACATGTGTGTAGGATAACAAACTTCAAAATAGTAGTAATTAAATAGCAATAGCATTCAAACTATTACTATACTATGCTAGTAGTCAAAAATGAATCCTTATTATAATTGTTCATACATTGTATATTATGGTTTATTTAATATAATTAAATATTTATCTAAATAATAAATGCTCTCATTTGCATGTTCTCCCTGCTTTCGCGTGGGTTTCTGCGGTGCTCCGGTTTCCCCCACAGTCCAAAGACATGCGATACAGGTGAATTAGGTAGGAGTGAGAGTGAGTGTGTATGGGTTTCCCAGTGAAGGGTTGCGGCTGGAAGGGCATCCGCTGCGTAAAACATACGCTGTATAAGTTGGCGGTTCATTCCGCTGTGGCGACCCCAAATTAATAAAGTGACTAAGCCGAAAAGAAAATGAATGAATGAATAAATGCTCCCAATTACTATTATTTTTACTATTTCATAAAAGTAAAACAAATCACATAGTCACCTGTGTTTCAAACTAGCTTATGAGAAGAATAGGAAAAGTCTTTGTATAACCTTTGCTCTTTGGTATATGTCAACTAGGAGATTTTCATAATATGACAGGAAGAGTAACGAGCAAAATCAAAAGGTCAGGTCATCACAAAGGTTGGACGAGAGCAGAGAATGGAATATTTATGGGTGAAGGCTGAACTCTCACATGCATTAAGACTTACTTTCACAAATTAATGGTGACTTACAAGGGAAATGAGGTCAAATCATGCTTGTAGCCTGCATGTGAGAGTTTCCTGCTGAAATTCCGGAAGAGAGGGAACAAATGTAGCTGAAATTTAGCATTAAGAAACTGAACGCAAATCAGATTTAGGACCTCCAATTTTCCACATGTTCAGCAACACGACGAATGTAGTTTATTGGCTTCCACAAACTACTGTAAACAACCCAAAATTAAATAAAACATTTTATTGTTTCTCTAACATCATGCTGTTCCAACCCTAAATTTGATTATTTTATTATTTGTTTTTGTCTATATAGTGAAAGCTAGCATAGTACAAAACAACACTGGACTCCAACTACTTCTTCTGTGTGAACAATAAAACTCTAGAGACATTTTTCGAAATATATCCTTTTTAAAAAATCATAAATATTTGTGATAAGGTCAAAGAAAACAGAACTAATTTGTCAAGAGAAGATTTTCTTTAGAAAGCTTATATTTTAATTTAAATAAGCCTTAAATTTTGAAGTAGTTTTAAAAGCTTGGAAAGATTGCTAACAAGTTGCTAACATGTTTTTAGTACAAATTAGCACTAGCATGATTAAACATGTTGCTAGCATGAATTAAAATATTAAAAAATAATAATTAAAAATTTTCTAGTATTTTCTAGCAGAAAGTAACATGTTCCAAGCATGTTTCTATTGAGAATTGGCATGAATAAACAAGTTATCCTGATTTAACAAGTTGCTAGCATGTTTCTAAAACAAATTTACATATTGTTTGCACAAATTGGCACATTACCTGCATGTTTCTAACATGAGTTACTTTGCTGTCAGCATGAATTAGCATGTTGTTATCACAAATTACCATGTTGCTGGCATGTTTTTATTGTGAATTAGCATAATGAATTGCTAAAGAGTTTCATGATTTACCAAGTCGCTAGTATGTTTCGAAAAAAAAATATGTTGTCAGCATGAATTTGCTTGTTTTTATCACAAATTGCCATGTTGCTAGCATTTTTCTATTGTGAATTAGCATGAAGAATTGCTAACAGGTTTCATGAATAATTACCAAGTTGATAGCATGTTTCTAAAACAAATTAATAGATTGCTAGCATGAGTTAGCACAGTGTTAACACATTAGCTGCATGTTTCTAACATGAATTATTATGCTGTCAGCATGAATTAGCTTGCTAATACAAATTTACATGTTGCTAGCATGTTTCTAACATGAATTAGCATAAAGAATTGCTAGCATTAATTAGCAAGTTTTCATGATTTAGCAAGTTGCTAGCATGCTTTTAAGACAAATTAATATATTATTAGCATGAATTAGCACACAGTTAACACATTAGCTGCATGTTTTTAACATGAATTACTAAGCTGTCAGCATAAATTAGCTTGTTGTTTTTACAAATTAACATGTTGCTGGCATGTTTCTATTGTAAATTACAGTAGCATGAAGAATTGCTAGCAAGTTCCATGATTTACCAAGTTGATGGCATGTTTCTAAAAACAAGTGTATAGATTGCTAGCATGAAATAGCACACTTTAAACACATTAGCTGCATGCATCAAACATTAATTACTTTGTTTTCAGCATAAATTGGCATGTTGTTATCACAAATTACCATGTTGCTAGCATGTTTTCTGTTGTGAATTAGCACTAAGAATTGCTAGAGTGAATTAGCAAGTTTTCATAATCTAGCAAGTTGCTAGCATGCATCTAAAACAAATTAATATATTGTTAGCATTAATTAGCACACTGTTAATACATAAGCTGCATGTTTTTTTTACCATGATTTACCATGCTGTCAGCATGAATTACCATGTTGTTATGCCAAATGAACATGTTGCCAGCATGTTTCTAGCACAAACGAACATGCAGCTAACTTGTTTGCAGTATAAAATTAGAATATGTACATATTTCGATTATTCAAGTGTTCTTTAATTCTACTCAAGCTGGTCTTTGTGCAGGCACTGGAGTGTTTACTAGCGAACCAGAGCATCTCATTAGGAAGTGAACAGCGAGAGCATCAATGGCTGAATTCTCCACTCTTCTGACCGCGAACCTTCATGGATCATTTGATCAGCACTGGGTAATTGGCTCTATCCTTCATGCTTTCTGAATTTACCTTTCAGCTCAAGGCAATCTTTAATAGTCCAAAAAGGCCAAGAGGAACTCAGCAAGATGTCGAAGGCGATTACTGTAATAAAGGTCCCTCTTTTTGTTTAGGATTTGTACATTTATATCTTCAATCGCAACAAGCAGTACAACGGAGAAAGAAAGTTTTCTCTTTTTATGGTCATTTTAGCCCTATTATTTTACCAAAACCAAATATGTTGACAACATTAAATAATGAATTCAGCATCTAACAAATACAAGTGGTTTTCTTAGACGTAGTCAGTTTAAGATGACGAATAGTCACTCAGAGGTTATTTTCAGACACTTACCAGGTCAGTTTTGGTCAGTTCTTGAAACTCTGATGCGTAATATGAAGGTGTTTTGCCGAAGCTGTTGCTCTCGCTGGGAGGTTTGTTTGGCTGGGCATGCTGGCGGTAAGTGGCACTTTTAGGAGTCCAGCAAAAAAGGTTGATGGATTCTCGAACACAGCGTTCAATGTCGATCTCTGAATGCAAAACAACAACAACAAGAGAGACCAGTCACTCTATGAAATGAGGCCTGAAAAGTTTATCCAAATCGGAATTTATTTGAAAACTAGCAGTCAAATTATGGTTACATCACAGAAGTATTATAGATTATCAAAGTAACTACTTTTTTATTTAGCTATTAATGCACGCTGTGATTGTCAATCAATGCAAATTAAAATTTCTTTAATTCTTTAACCATTTTTTAAACCAACATATTGCTGCAAACAAGTGGCCTAAATTATGATATTCTGAATTGAAATTGTAAAGACATTTTAGGAACAACAAATAATAACCTGACTTCTACTTGATCATTTGGTATCATAAGTGGCCTATATGAAAGGCAAAGGCCTCTAGATTACGCTTATTTTACCAAAATAAAATATGATCATGCCTTGATTTTAATGATTTATTAGGACTATAAGGTCTGACTTTGCTTAGACTAAAGTCTTGTCACTTAAAAGAAATAATGTACAGTATAGAATATAAAGTCATGGTGCAGTGGAGAAAGCATAAATATTGTGCATGACTCCCATAAGGTTGGAGGACTGCATCCATACATCTCTGCAATGACTCAAATCACTGATTAATAAAGTCATCTGGAATGGCAAAGAAAGCGTTCCTGCAGGACTCCCAGAGTTTATCAAGATTCATTGAATTTACCTTCATCTTGCCCCAGACATGCTCAATAATGTTCATGTCTGGTGATTGGGCTGGCCAATCCTTGGGCACCTTGACCTTCTTTGCTTTCAGGAACTTATGTGGAGTGATGTGGATGCTGAAGTATGAGAAAGAGAACTATCCTGCTGAAGAATTTGCCCTCTCCTGTGGTTTGTAATGCATTGGGCAGCACAAATGTCTTGATACCTCAGGCAGTTGATGTTGATCTCTTGTACGCCCCCATACTGAATGCAACCCCAAACTATGATTTTTCATTCACTAAACTTGACGGATTTCTGTGAGAATCTTGGGTCCATGTGGGTTCCAGTAGGTCTTCTACAATATTTGTGATGATCAACTAAAAGTCAAGTTATTATGTGTTGCATGAGATCTATGTGTTTATTGTACAGCTGGGATTGACAAAAAAAAAGTGCAAAAATTCTTGCTGTCATACTTTTTTTTAGTTCAATAAAGTTAGCTTTTCTAGTCATCTCAACTTAGATCGGTCAAGCAAACTAAAAAGATTAAGTTGAAGACCCTTTGAAATCAAAATAAAACAAATTTTAGATGTTGGTCAGCATATCTATATCAGGGTATATGCAGTAATTCTAAAGGTAACTTCAATACCTTTTTAAGACTTTTTAAAGATCTTCTGAGAATATTTTAAAACCTCATCGCCCCTTCAAGTTCTGATCAGTGTCAAACCTTTAACTTAAAAAACAGTTGTTAATAAACAGTTGTAGTTAAATAAATCAATGGAGCACAACCATGCAACAGAACTAAGATAAACTCTGATGAAACAAAGCTTAAAAAGGGATAAATTATGTGGTCGTTTTCAGCGACAGGCTTCGGCCTCTGTTTAAACTCGTCTTTCTCCAACCAGGAGTGCGCAAACTTAATTTTTCCCATTTTGTCACCTGTTTCGCTCTGTGGTTTTGCTACATGTGGAGAGCGTCATATCAACTTCCCTGCGTTTGTCGCAAATTACGTGACATCACCCGGACGGAGGAGCTTGTCCAGACATGCCCAGAATTACGTGAATTGAGCACAGTGTTGTTAATATTAGGAGGAAAATCATTGATTTATGCTTTGTTGGAGTCAAACACTTTGGACAACGCTTTAACAAAAGTTAAGACCTCGTAAAAACGCAATTAAGACTTTTAATACCTTTTAAGGGCCTTCATTTTCTTATAATAGATTTGTTAACTTTTAATACTTTTTAAGGACCCGCGGACACCATGTATAAGTTTTTGTAGTCTAAAACAGCAACAGAATTCGCATTAAGATAAAAACACCCAAAAGCTTTCAGCTTGTCACTGTTTTACATTTTTTTCATCACCTCATACTTCAGTTTCTCATCAAATCTTCTGACTAATCAAATGCTCTCTAGTATATGACATGCCCCGCCCCCTTTAATACACTTTTGCTATATGCACTTGAGCTCAAACACACTCACTAGCAGAGTGCAAAACAAAAAAACTAAATGCTATTGGATGTTTTTTAAAGGGGGAGGAGCTGCTCTTGGCCACGTCCATCTGTATGTTTCACTTTAAATTACATCACACATTGAGCAAAAATGCAAATTAATTGTTGATGATTAAAGTAACGAAGTCATATCCCTTTTTTACAGTGTTAATGCTAAATCCATAACTTGTCTATTTTTAAGTTAAGTTGAACTTAACGAATGATTTATGGTTGTGAATAGAATTATAGGATGTTGGATGTCGGATTTTGATGTAGAAAATTCAACTCTACAGTTTAACTGTAACGTAGTGGCTGACACAGAGGGATCCATTTGCAGTATTTTTACTAAACACAGTTTAATAAACAATAGCACACAGATGTTGTGCGTGCGCAAACTCACATCAAACACAGTAGTATGTAGTCGTTGGGCTGGCAGCTGGTAAACACAGGATGAGTATACAGGCATGGGTCAGAGGCAGGCGGCTAGTATCAGAGTCGGTAAACAGGCTAGAGTTCAAAGGCAGGCGGCTAGGATCAACGTCGGGATTCAGGCTGGAGTACAAGGCAGGCGGCAGGCAAGACTGGGTCAGTAAACGAAGCAGGATAACAACGGGAAAGCAGTCAATGTAATGTCAATAGTCCTGTGATGGTGACCTCTGCTGGCCAGTGAGGGTAATGACTGGGACCGAATCGGTGACATTAACAAAGTGATTTTTATTAACATTTTAGAAGTCTAAAATAATAAAACTCTATTATACATAGAAAATGTACTGTCAGTTTATTACAAGGCCTTGTATCATAATTTACAATACCAACTCAGACAATATATCACTTTCAACTATTAAAAATATTCGTAAAAGTCACTTTTTTGAACTTTTCACGGTTAAAAGTTCATGAAAGAAAGATTAAGCTCCAATAAAAAGCATAAATAAATAAATAAATAACAATTGAATTACAAAATACAGAAAACTGCTAATTTACAGATATTTTTACAGTATATATACATATATATATATATATATATATATATATATATATATATATATATATATATATATATATATATATATAGTATGCTACTGAATCTATTTAAATATCTCAAGAGCACTAAAAACAACAACGTCATGCTCGTTCGGCAAAAACCACAGGAGAATCACAGACTGCCTAACTTCCTCCTAATTAACCTTGGACGACATTTGAAAGCGTCTCCAGAGAGCCTTCGCTTCAACTGATCCACTGACTCTCTGCCAAGGCCTCCGTCAGACCCAAACAAAATTTAGTGAAGACATCAACGCTTGATTCACACTCTCACAAGAAGCGAAAGAAGAGAAAAGGAGATTCTGCAGCTTCCTTCAAAGGCAAAGCCAACTCTCTTGAGCCGCGCGCCTTAAACCGCAGATTAAAGTAACAGGGATACAAACAAATCAGGAATCCTCTCTTCGCAATCTCGCCCGCTTCCAATCCTGTTAGTGACGAAAAAAAAAAGTATCCCTAATGAAGTGCTTTAGCATGCTTGGCCTACTATTCAAATCAAGCCAAGTGTGACAGCTGCATTTTATTTAAGAGGATGTGATCTGAATCCTGGATTAGAAGCGCTGGACTTGCACTGAGGGATTGTGATTACTGTGCGCTGTAGCTGGAAAAGGCCAGAGAAAGTCTGCGATACAGTATAGAGAAAGAGAAACTGTAAATACTTAGACAGAATCTTAAGGCAGTATTACTGATTCAAAAGGTATGTCTCACTGAACATACATACTGTATTAGCCCTTCTGTTTTCTTCTTGAGTAACTCTCTTTTCTTTTAGTTTTGGAAGGCAGACATATACAGACATTTCGAATATATTATTTGTGCATATTTAGACCATTTTAAGGGATGTAAACTAAAACAATGGTCCAAACGCATTTTCCTGTTTACATTTTTAATTTCTATAGCTTCCGAGAATCCAAAAAGAGCCACATATTGATAAATAATGTTATGATAGCTGTTTTAATATTAAGTTATGGTTAAATTGCCTCTTGTTACAGTAATGAAATAGTTCGATAACAAGCAGGAAATGTTCAATGTCCAATGACATGACCACATCATACCTGCCAACACTCCTGTTTTTCCCAGGAGTGTCCCGCATTTCAGACCCACCTCCCATTTTATTCGTCTGGAATTTCGAGTGTGGACCTGAAAAATCTCTGTTTCAAGGGGTGTCTAGCTCTTCTCCTTAGCCCTACGCCTTCAAGCTAAAGATAAGGGGAAGGGCTAAGGGGTAGAATTGGGATTGAGCCTAAACTTATTGACTTCCTCAGCACTGCCTGAGCCAAATGCAAATGGTATGGGCAGGGTCTCAACGACTGTGACTTAATGGATCCATTCAGGCCAAAGAAGTTTGTTGATAAACTTGTGTGGTCAGTGGCTGGGCATGTTCTTTTACTTATCTACTTCATTTGCATGTTTTGTTTAGCCATCTCCACTTTTAGCCACTGCCTCCTCTCTTAAAAAAAAAACTCATAATATAGACACGCACCTCTCAAAATATTTGCAATGACGCATAGCGCAAGCTCTGTGATTGGTCAACTTAGTAGTGGTGACTAGTGTGGATGGTGCTTAGCCGATTGGAGCAGATGTTTACAAGTGTCGAGTCCTGTGAAGGAGCTTCAGATGGAATCTTTTGATTTGTGTTTACCTTATGCTTAAAGTTTTTGCACATTCCTACCTCTGAATGAGCGACTTGTAGTGTAAAGAAAAAAAAAGACCAGGAGGAATCAGAGAGACATAAAAACCTGCTGCCAGCTAGCGTTTTGAAAGTGTTATTGCAGAGCAACACAAACAGCATGCAGAAGTATAAATGCACGACTACACGCAAGGC